CAGTCAGCCAGATGTTCAGACTGGATTTGGCATTTTGTCTACCTATCGAGTCCTTATCCAGGACCTGGGATAGGCAGATGTGGATGTTTGATAGTATTACAGATTTATTATTATTATTATTATTATTATTATTATTATTATTATTATTATTATTATTATTATTATTATTATTATTATTATTATTATTATTATTATTATTATTATTATTATTCCACACCCATTTGCACTACTCAGGTGACCCTGAGGAACAGGTAAACCTCTAAGCGGCCTCAATGCCTCTCTAACAAGAATGCAAATGACTAGCTCTCTGCAAGGAGTATAAATCCTTCCATTCTTCACCATCCAGTTCAGAGCTGAAGAAGCTTCTTGGATGTGAAGCGAAATGTCTTCAAAGAAAAACAAGGAAGTCCAGTTGCCTCTTGAAAAAGCACCTTTGGGACAACCATGACCTGGATGGTTGAGAATCTCCATAGAGCGCCAGATGTTTTTGACTTCCGCTTTAGCAGGCCTTTTTGTCTGACTGCAGTCACTAGTCTCATGACGTAGAAATAAAGATGCCTTGGCCGTAAATGGGTTTTTGAGCCTACAGCCAACCAAAAAAGGAAGAGGAGCTGATTGGCAGACTCCCAACGTGCTTAATTTAAATTCTGCAATCCAGTTGGGCGAAGCTGCTCTAAATTAAAACAAACAAACAAACAAGCGGGTCTTTCTAAATTTTGGCCTGGAAACTACGGCTTGCTTTCTACTCCGTAAGATTTCAAGCGAGCTTTGGTTCATCGTGTTGGGGAAAAAAACATTCACCAGTTGGGTTGTACGTTGTGAGGTCGCCCGAACAGCTCGATCTTGCGGGTGCCCGGAGAAAGCCGCTCAATCATGCCGTAAATCTCATCCGGCTTGTGACTGGTAGAGCGAACCTGCAGAGGAAGAGGGAGTAGGTGGCAAAGTGCGTCCGGTGTGGCAGCAACCCACGAGGCATGACAGACCTCAACCAAAGAGCGTTGGCTTGTCGCCTCACCTCTGCCACAATCACGTCACAGTCAAGACCTCTGTTGAAGCCTTGGGGGTTTCCTTTCACGCCAACCTGTCCGTCAAAACAAATAAGGGTAGTGTCAACCGTCCCATTTGGCACAATCAACCAAAGGAACTCCCGGCTCTTTAAAGTAACCAAGAGTGTAGCTTTATTGGGGAAAAAAAAATCCATCTAGGCCCAGCCGAAGCAAAGTCTGGGATTTTTCCCACCAAAACCCGCAGAGATAACTCCCCTTTCCCCCTCCAGGCCATCCACAGTTCATAGTTCACCAGCTGAGTTTAGTTCTTTTTTTTAAAAAAATATTATTAAATATTTTATTAAGTTTTTTCAGGGTGGGGAAAAGCGAGGGTCATTATGAGTGGTGGGGTTCAGGTGGGGTTCAAGGGAGGATTTAGGGTGAGAGTGGGTACAACAATGGGGTTGTCCCCAATAACATTCCACGCTTTAGCAAGCAAGCTATCATCCGGATACAAATATTCCACAGGGCTAATATAATGATCAGTAACTGTAGTCAAAAACATTGCAGACTACAGGAACCATTTGCGCTTTGGTCTGAGATGCAGACAACACAAACTCATCCCCAAGAATGAGGGAGGACATGATAGCAGTGTTCCAATATCTCAGGGGCTGCCACAAAGAAGAGGGAGTCAAGCTATTCTCCAAAGCGCCTGAAGGCAGGACAAGGAGCAACGGGTGGAAACTGATCAAGGAATGAAGAAATGGACCATGCCTTGGTGCTTGTCCCGGTCCCACTCCCTTCTGCCAGAGACCCTCAGATCTGTCCCACTCCTGCCCAGGCCCCCACAGGCACCCTTGACGCGAACGATGTAGAGCTGGCCATGCCCACCCAGTAGGCCACACCCAATCCATCCACGCCTACCCAGTAGGCCGCACCCACCCTGGCCACACCCACCTGCCCCCCCCCCGAGGGCAAGCACAATGCTGATGCAGCCCTCAATGAAATTAAGTTGGCACTCCTGCTCTATTTACCAAGCAGTGCTCCTTGCCGTGGTTGAGCCAATGGCCTGTCCTTCCTGTTCGGATAATACGCTGCAGCTGGTTGGTTTTCACCCAGATGATCTCATCCACCCGCTCGTACCTGAGGGGGAAGACACGAAACAGAGCCTGGTCAAAGAGGCAGAAGAGGACTTGCAGAACGTTAAGGATGAGC